AATACAATTAATGCTTCTCTCAGTTTCTCATTCTCCCCTTTCATCTTAACATCTACAGCGTATTAAAAATGTCTTCCTTCCAAGTACATAAGTAAATGTAGCAAGTTAATGGGGATTATTAAAAAGCAAACACCCTTGTAATTATCAACCAGGTCAAGAAATTAGATTTTGTCAGTAAATCTGCCCTTTTGGCCCAACACAATCAGAAGTACTTTGTCTCCCAGAAAAAACCACTAGCCTTTTTACAGGAATCACTTCCTTGTCTTCTTTGAATCTTGTCACTTTATGAGCCACCTGAAACATTACAGTGTAGTGGTGTCCATGTTGAAAGTTTGACTTGCCTCTCTATTCTCTTTTCATCTTAATTTCTCTCTTCATCCCTTTCATTTCCTTACAATGTATTTGCGGAAAGAAACTGGGCCAATTGATCGTAGAATTTCCCACATACTGGATTTTCAGACTGGAGACTCATCGTGCGATTCAGCATGTTGATGAGCCCTTTGTATTTCTTCGAAATGGCAGCTAGATCTGAGGACTTGATTAGACTCAGATTCCATCCTTTTGACAAGACTACAGGCGTTGTTATATTCTTTCATCAGGAACACTGGTTGTCTCTCTTTTCATGATAATAGATGTTGACACTCAGTGCATAGGTCCATCAAGGGGTAGTAAAGTGGTGATACTTGAATCCTATTATTTCTTTGTAATTTATTGGCTGGGAAACCTCTATGAAGGGACTCCTCCGCTCATCTATCATTTACTTAGAGTTCAAATACAGAGGCAAGACAATTGCTTTAGGTGTTGTCTTTTATTTCCCGGTGTTCAAGATAAAATTTTTCCCTATCTTTCTCCATATGTGACCAGTTACTTTATATTATGATGACCATCATAGAACACCATACATGTTTGTATGTCACAGTTCTGTAGTTCAGAAGTCCAGTGTTACATGGCTGGGTTCTCTGCTTAGAGCCTTACAAGGCTGAAATCAAATGTTGAATGAGCTACATTCTTATCTGGAGACTCAAAAGAAGAATTGCTTTGGGGTGCATGGGTGGCTCAGTCAGTTAAGCGTCTGCCTTGGGCTCAGGTCATGATCCCAGCCAGGGTCCTGGGATCGAGTCCCGAGTGGGGCTCCCTGCTCAGTGGGGAACCTGCTTATCCCTCTCCCTCTACCCCTCCCCTCTCTTGTGCTCTCTCTCTCTCTCAAATAAAATCTTAAAAAAAAAAAGAATTGCTTTCACGTTTATTCAGGTTGTCGACAGATCCAGTTCCTCCATGCTATACGACTGAGGTACCCACTGTCTTCCTGGCTCTTGACTGGTGGTCCCTCTCAGGTCTTAGAGTCCTTATGCAGGTTCTTTCCACATGAGCCCCTCTCTGTCTTCAAGCCAGAAGTGACAGGCCAAATCTTCCTCATACTTTGTGCAGATTCTATTTGTTCGCTTGCTTTTTTTCCAGCTTTACTGAAGTATAATTGACAATTACAATGGTAAGATATTTAAAGTGTAAAAAGTGATGATTTGATACACATCTCCATTGTGCTTTCAATTTCTGATTATTTCACAACCTGCAGGAAAAACCTCTGTGCTTTTTGATTAGGTCAACTAACCAGGATACTCTCTGTATCTTTGGGATTTTAATTTCATCTGTGGATCCCCTCATAGCAGAATTCGAGATCAGTGTTTGGTTAAATACCCAACAGGAGTCTGGGGGTATATATATATATACACGTGCATGTAATACACAATATTACATGCAACCTCATAAGCTTGTACTAATTTCTGATTCAAATTCAGGACTATAAGATTTTTACTTACTTTGCATAATACATGTGTATCTCCATTCTTCCAACCAGGAATTCTGGTTTTCAAAGACATATGTGATGAAAGGAATTAGAGTTTCCTATAATTACTTATTGCTTTATAACATATTACACATACAAATATTTCAGAATGGCAGTTCTAATAGTAAAACCACTGATAAGCTTGCTTACTGAAAAAAATGTAAGCTTTTAAAACTTAATAAAACATCTTGTATATTATCTGACCATTAAAAATAGTTGTATTGTCTATATTTTCAAATCATATAGCTCTTACTAGTATAGTAAGTTATATTATAGTTTTACAAGTAACCTGTTTAAGAACTCCTTTGCTTCTGGTGCACCTGGGTGGCTCAGTTGGTTAAGCGTCTGACTCTTGGTTTCAGCTGAGATCAGATCTCAGGGTTATGAGATGGAGCTCCGTATCGGGCTTGCACTCAGCAGGGAGTTGGCTTGAAGGTTCTTTCCCTCTCACTCTCTTTCTCAAATAAATAAATAAATCTTAAAAAAAAAAAAAAAAGAAAGAAAAGAACTCTGGGATGCCTGCGTGGCTCAGTGGGTTAAGTGTCTGCCTTTGGATCAGGTCATGATCCCAGGGTCCCGGGATCGAGTCCTGCATCAGGCTCCTTGCTCGGGGAGGAGCCTGTTTCTCCCTCTGCCTGCCGATCTCCCCGGTTGTGCTCTCTCTCTCTCACAAATAAGTAAAATCTTAAAAAAAGAACTCTTCTGATACCTAAAAGAATTTTATAATTCTGTAGAATATAGGATTTTATAGACTATGTCCAATAATTTTATAGACTATGTCTTGGTGTTGTCCATTTTAAATCAATAGTTTCAAGTATGCCTTGTGATATTTCATTAAGTAGTTTCAAAGAATTTTTTATTTTTTATTTTTTTATTTTTTAAAGATTTTATTTATTTATTCATGAGAGACAGAGAGAGAGAGAGAGGCAGAGGGAGAAGCAGGCTCCCAAGGAGCAGGGAGCCCGATGCGGGACTCGATCCCAGGACCCTGGGACCATGACCTGAGCCGAAGGCAGACGCTTAACCATCTGAGCCACCCAGGCGCCCCAGTTTCAAAGAATTTTTTAAATTCAGAAAATGTTTGGGGAGCCTCGGTGGCTCAGTCATTAAGCATCTGCCTTCGGCTCAGGTCATAATCCCAGGGTCCTGGGATCCAGCCCCGCGTCTCAGGCTCCCTGCTTGGCGGGAACCCTTCTTCTCCCTCTCCCACGCGCCCTGCTTGTGTTCCTGCTCTTGCTGTCTCTCTGTCAAATAAATAAATAAAATCTTAAAAAAAAAAGAAAATGTTTGTTATTCCTAAATTGAATGATCTTTCTCCACTTTATACACATATATACACTTACATATATATACATGCATATGCATATACACATACATATATATTACTTTATTTTTGTTCCTTTTAATCTGTTTTTCATTCTTTTTTAATTTAAAGATTTTCCATCTTTATATTTCTTTGAAGG